GGTTCAGCTGGGCAGTGCTGCCTGCACGGACACCGCTGCCTGCAGAGGCAGCAGTGGAGGCAGAGCGCCTTCCTTCATCCCCCTCGCTCAGAGGGACTAAACCCTTTCTTCTACCCACCTACTGCTCTCATATTCTAGAAACATCAGATAGCATCTTCCCCACGACCCACAAAACGCTGGCATAAGAACAGACAGTCTGGCTGGAGGAAGGAAACTTCACTGCAGAGGCAACTATTTAAAAAGGGAGTATTTAAAACTTACTCTCCTGTGCCAATGTGCTAGGTGTGAAGCTACCACCCCCTCTACACTCCCCACCTCCCAGCATTTATCTTCCATCCCAACTCCATGCTCTACCACGATATAACACCCAATGCGCAGGCAGCCCTGCAAAGTGTGCCCAGTTCGCAGCATGAGAAGTGAAACCAGCCCTGCACAGCTAAGCTGAAAGTGCAACTGGTCCATATGTATATTAAGACACCCCAGAAGCATTAGCTTTAACCAGCACACATCCAAACCTCTAAAACATTCTTGTATAAACAGTTTCAGGCTCTTCTGGAATCCCCTGCTCCTTCCCCCTCCGCACGGGGGAAGGTGGGTGTCTAAACAGAGACAGATGGTATCACCACTGAAAGAAATCCACCCCACCCAGGAGCCAACGAGCAGGGGTTGGCATTCAGGCGTGATCTGTCACACTCCATTCCCCCAGGACTGGGGCAATCCTCCTGTTTACACCTTTCCCAAGTGCACATCCATGAGCTTCTGCAGGAGGGATGAGCATCTCTGACATTCAGGCATTTGCCATGATCATTTCAGGCAGCTTTGGAAAACCATTACTGTGAATGGGGCTAGGTGAGAGCACTCTCCCAGAGTTGTGGAAGTCAAGCCAGGTGGGGGTCAGAGAGAGGGGACAGCAACAGAAGAATTAAAGTGGAGCTGGAGGACAACGGTCAGACTTAAACCTTCAGGGCTCCCCTCTGGTTATCTTGGCATGGACTTCTCACCCACCAGCTGGGCTCCGAGGCACAAACCAGCCTGCAGCATTCAACAGCAGGGGTGGGAAAACCAAACTGGGCAGAGTTAACAGTCTGCACAGCAACTTCGCGCTCTTCCCACTCAGAACCTAACTTGCCAATTGATCCACACATCAATTTCGTTCCCTAAAAATAAACAGCGAGACAACCCAGCAGCAGCCTGCACATCACACACCGCCACCAGAACAGGCGATTCTCTGGGAGCCCGCCTGGGAGACTAGAAAATCAGACGCTATCGCCGCCTTCGGACAGAGCAAGGCAGCCTGTGAGCACTACCTCAGGGCACAAGCGCTCGTGCGTTACCACCATGGCCGCTCAGTCCTCCAGCACCTGCTGGAGGACTCTCCAGGGCAGCGCCAATGGGCTGCAACGACAGCGGCGAGCCCTCCTCCCCTTGCCGGGAGGCCTGCCGGTGAACAGAGCTGCCTGTGCGCAAGCCCTAACCCTCCTACCTCAGTATCAGGAAAGCAGAAAAGTGATTTGCAGTATTTGCAGTGGAGGTGTCTCTCAGGGCACTCCTGCTCAGAGTGGGGCTCCTTCCCATTCCGCGGGATCATCCCGCTACACCCCTAGCACTCATCCAGCAGGAACAGGCAGTTCCCTTCATGGCAGCTCTGCGACAGCTGGGGCAGCACATTTCAGTGCAGCCGCGCAGAAAAGCACAGGCTCACACAGGGAAAAAGCGGGTTTTAATAACAGCAGCTGATCCCTGGAGGACGCAGTGATCGTTTCCTAAGGAATGCCAGGATGAGCTGCTCTGCTGGACCTGTGTAAGTAAGACAAAAGGGAAACCGCAGTTTAATCCGATCGCTGCTTTGCCTCCAAAACTATGAACTATGGAAGAGGCTGATGCTGAAAATTATTCTCCCCATATCACGGTGTCAGAGCAGGAAGTGCACCTGCTCCCCAGCTGCCCCGCTCACAACCTGCCATATCAACGCAAGCCCGTTTTTATGGAGGTCTTGCGTTGGGAAATCCATCCGCATGACAAAATGCTCTCCCTCCAGCTAAGGGACAAGGCAGGCAGCTGAGAAAAGCAGCCTTGGAAACAGCTGCTGCGAGATGCCTCTGCCAGAACCCTGCGGGAAAGTTACCGCAAAGGGCAGGGTTGGCAGAGACATGAGGTGCAACAGAACCGGCTCGGTGCGAGCTGCACACGCAGCTCTGCTGCAAACAGTCTCCTCCAGGTTGACCTTTGAAAGTTAGTCCATCAGTCCCCTCCAACCATGGCAACAGTGATCATAAGCATAAAGAAAGCTGACGGGCTTGGCAGCAGGAAGAGAGCACCAAAAGGAAGGAAAATTAACAGGACGGCAGAGGAAAGGCAGCTGAAGCGGCACAGGGTTCACCGGAGCACTGTCAGGGCTTTGGCACTCTCCAGCCCCAACGCTGCCGTGTCCCGCACACGGCTCCTTTGGCATCTTAGCCTGGCTAGAAGAAAAAGGGTGGGCCCACAGAATTGTAGAAAAGACACTGAAAATGGGTCTCCAGTGTAAAAGAGGAAGGCTTTTTGCCTAGGTTTCGAGGGAACCCAAATCCCTTGCGCCAAGAAGCATGAGTTGCTTCGTGCACCTCTGCCAGGTCTCCAGGGGCTCCAGAGCCTCCAAGAGGGGAATGTGTCACAAAACACAGGCACTTTAGGATGTCCTGCTCCTCAGAAGCCACCATGCCCTTCTGTGCTGCGTCTCCTCCTTGTCAGGGGAGTTCTAAGGCTGGTTTTAAGCCAGGCCTGCTCGAAGCTTTCCCCACACAGGTGGGCTGGGCTACCACACACATGGTCCTTGTGCTATTGCATGGAGCCCAGCAACGCAGGGCTAGAAAACAGGAACCCAGTCTGTAATTCACAGTGCCAACCAGGAACGGGAACTTTCTGAGACCATCACATCAGCTGGTGCCAGACACAAACTGCTGCCTTTGCTGGGACACACTGGTGACAGAGATCCAAGGAAGTTCACTTGGCATCACAAATAATTAAACCTCAAAGAAAGTGCCAAAAACAAAGATTAAGTTCCCATCAGTAACTGCTTGTGGCTTTAATGGGCAAGCATATGGCAGCAATGGCATGGGAAACCGACACTGCCTTTATTCAGCTGTCCAACACCATCTGAGTTGAGGACAATTAGCAGAAGAGATGTCAGGGCTTCCCAGGGGCCTTGTTCATGCCTGTTTTCAGAACCAGCAGAACAACTTTTGCTTTCAGCTTTCTCTGGTTTTGTTCATCAGCTTTTAGGGATGATTAGAGAGACATTTGATTTGGGGTTTATTCATAGAGGCAATGTTTCCTGCATTGAGTAAGGATGTGGAAACAGTAGCAGGTTTTGAAGAAGGCTGAAGGCACAAGAAACATTTGAAAGCAGCAACGGGTGTTCTAACATCTGCTAACAGACTCTTGCCTTTCCCTGTTTGCTTTGAACTACGTGAGCTGTGGGACACTCCAGGATGCTTTCTCCAAATCCCTCCGTTATCCCAGAGGAATGATTTTGCTAGACAGACTCTAGTCTGAAATGGAGCAGGGCTGGACCCCAGAGCATTTTAGATAAGCCCAAGCCTAAACCTGACCTAGCCCCACAGCCAGTTGAAGCCCATGCACCACTATCCCTCACCTCAGATGGGCCAACTGCATTGCAAAACAAAAAGACTGAATCTACTTGACAAGGAAATTAAAAACTACGGCGTCAGACCCCCATAAACAGTTGTTTGACACATAAGGGAGGTTCAAAGCAATTGGGAATGTCTGATCAGAGTTAACTCCACAGGTCTTCTAGGCTACAATTAACAGCCACAGCCATAGTTATGTGAAAAATGCCCAAGATGTGCTGTTCACATCAAATGAGGTCACTGCTCGAGAACAACCCACCACTGGGGAGTGGACTCCAATGATGCCATCACACTAACGATGCCAGGCACTGATCTGAATTCACCTCTGATAGTTATTTGTGACACCCGATTGCTGTGGTTAGCTGCAGGAGATGCTGCAGTGCTGTTGGCTGTGCTTTAAGCACACTGAAAGCGCTGCCCATGCCCACCAGGTCCATCTGGAGAGATGCCCCTCTCTTCCAGCAGTACTTTCACCATCACGAAAAGCTTCACCTTCATCACTCGGATCAAAAGGGACAGCCTCAGGCTGAAGCCTCTCAGGGTCTGCCTGACCTTCACATTAGAAAGGGTGGTGCTGATGCCTGTCAAGCTCTGAAAGCTGCAGATGGTGGGCAGGGGCAGGACTGACTCCTTTGCCTCACAGGCAGCACGGAGGTGCAGGCTGTGAACAGAAGGGCTGTTAGAGCATGAGGCTGAGAAAAACCCTGGCGCCCTGGAAAGGTGAGATGAGACAAATATTACAACTGGGAACAGGCATCTTTCACGTGCTGGAGAAGTCGAGCCTGGGGTGAGTGGCTTGATTTCAAATCCGACTCCTCTAGGCTGTCCAAAGAGTTGGAATTGCCCAAGGAGGTGTGTGTGATTGTGGCTTTGGCTCCTGCCAGACACCTGGAGCCCTAGGAACACCTCCCTGGGCATAAAGTGCTGACCCACAACTCCCAAAGTTGTGTTCATGCTGAGGGGTTTCATCACCACTTAGAAGGGACACACAGTGCTTGCCTCAGCTTCAAAGCTTGCAACTTAGAGCTTTTCATTTCCCTAGGGGCAGATACCAAAACTGTTAATTAGATGGGCCACCACAAGGAGGCCGAGCTGTTTTCAGACGCTAAGAGCAGACCCTTTACAGCTGGGGCTTTCCAACCCCCTCCCACACGCGTTCTCCGGCACTCCCCGTGGCTTACCTCCCAGCACGGGCTTGGACGGGAAACTGCCTCGTGTCTGGGCAGCCAGCTACATAAACTCTATCTCAGGGACTGTAAGGGTTTTGTTTGGGGACCTCAGCTCCAGGTCTGGAAAGTAAAGGTGTATCAGATCCCTTTTTCCAAAACAGGAGGTGCTTTTGGTCAGCTGTGCAAGTCAGGGATCCTCTCACAAGAAAGGGATCTGGTCCTGGGGCAAACTGCTGATCAGACTGGAGCTGTCTGCAAACTGCACTTCAACACCATATCCTAATTTGGAGCCAAAACCTTCAGAAAAAGACAATAAATACTGTACCTGATTTTAAAAGGAAAGCTGGTCACCCTGCTACAGTATCACCAAGTGTGCTTGTCACAGCACTTAAAATGCTGTATTCTCATGCCGACACCACCACTATAAAACACTCAGAAGCACACTTTGGAGGCAACAGGAGCCAAGTGAAGTAGCTTCAAAGATCAGCAGCCCTGTTCTAAACAATGTGTAAAAGCCTGAAGCTGAAGTTTTCACCTAAGCTGAAAATCACCATCTAAAACAATCAGGGCATGGTAGTAGTGGTGAAGCATCACCAAGCAGGAGACCCCTGAGATCCGCTCAGGCCGCCCAGGAGCGTTTTTGAAGAGGTGGCAGTTTTCTCTACACTAGGTGTGTCAGGGCTTCTCCAGCATCTCCCAGTAGGAACACTGGGCAAGAAGTGTTCACCTTGTCCTCTGGGCCCCAGGAAGCCACATAGCCCAGAAGGGGATGCAGACATACTCTCCAATACCATGGGCTTTGGAATACTGTCACTTAAGTTATGAGTTTTGCACCTTCCACAGCCTTCCAGGCTTCAGTTAAAGTGAATTCTTCAAAATCAAGGTGACAACAAACTACAAGGAAAACACATCCCCTCCAGTTTGGATTAGGACAGGTTATCACCACAAATGACAGTCACCCATCGTCATTAGCTGAGCTCATCTGTTTTCCCAGAAACCCTCCACTCACAACTTAGTTTAAATAATGCTGTCAGGATTAAGTTTAAAACAGTTCTTCTTCCAAAGCTTGGCCAATTTATTTCCTTATGTCTCAATTTTATATCTCCTGAGATGAATGGGGCATAGTTAAAACTTCTGTCTGGGTAACAACTGGAAATGCCAAGTCTGACCATGTGAACACCCCTCTGCAGCCCCCTCTCCCCATCCCAATCCTGGTGAGGGGCAAAGAATGTGAGCTGGCAGTATGAAAAGCATAAATAAAAGGTATATGAGAACTGAAGACATGTTGATCAAACAGAAGACAGACATAAGCAATTGGAGATACTGCAAGGCAAGAAAAGAAACGCTCCAGAAACCACAGACTACCTGGATATCACAGAGCATGTCTTGGTCTTTCCTTTTGCTCTAACAGGTTTTAGTTTCTGCAACCCTCCTCAGACTTTCCACCTGAACCTAAAGGCTCCTGCCCACAGCCTGTTGTTCTGTATGTACATTCAAGTAGACTCATCAGGAAACCTATACATGAAAAAACGTTACTGATTAAAAGGAAAAACCCTGCAGCCCCACCACAAACTGCTTTATCCAAATGCCACTAAATATTTACACTATTTACAAATTCAGAAAAATGCATTTATAAACTCAGACATGTTCTAAGCACGTAAACAATTTCAGATGCTTCATATAGCTTTAAGCAGAAGTGCAAGTCATGAAGCAGACTGCACTCTTTCAGTTTTGTATGTCCCTTTAAGACCTCAACTTCGGTCTGCCTGAACAGAAAGCAAAACTGAAATCAATGTTATTCTTTTTTTTTTTTTTTTTTTTGGTGCTAGAGCCTTTCAGCTGTAGAACATTTTTTTCCTTGTTCATGCCCTGGTAACATTAGCAAACCAGAAGTGACGGTGTCTCTTGATTTGTAAGTGGATAGCAGCTGAGTAAGTCTCTCTCAATACGAACACACAATTTTTAAATTAGCAAACAATGAATTCACTCTTAGGGACTTTCCATGTCCTGTCGGAAATAGCACAGCGAGGGACTTTCCACAGTGGGAGTGCTGAGCTACTGCAGGACGTTACACACATTACTGGCTACAGATGCAACTGTACTGCACAAGGCAAACTCTACTCAGTGGCACTAAACTAACAAGCCTACCTGTAAGGCAGGATTTAACATTAATCCACGGTACCAAGAGACTCTGGACTAACACGTTTGATGCCTCCTTTCATCAGCTCTTCTCAGCCACACATACCATCTCCTAAGCTCCGACCGCATGAGGACAGCCAGGCCTGATTAAATGCCACAGCTCTTTGGCAGGCAGCTGCGAGGACGGATAACACAAGCCAGACCTTGCCTCCTCCCACCAGTTCCCAGGAAGGAATCAGCTTTTCCCAAGAGGACACAAAACAACATACCCCCATTAGACTGAATGCCACCTGTGGTAGGCAGGAGGGGCAAGCTCAACCCTGAGGCAAACCAACCAGCACTGCTCAAAATCCCCACTCCCCTTCCATTGCCCAAGACTGCCCCAAGACTAACAAAACCTGTGACAGTCGAGATCAGCGCTGCAGACCTGCAGCCCAAGCACTCTGAAGCCGCACCTCTACAAAACATACTCTGTTTTAGCAAAGCACCTAATGGGACCTTTTGAAGATTAGGTGGAGATTAAAAAAAAAGAGGCACAGCCTTACCATTTCAAACGCTCTTAAGCGGTTGTGCTGATCCCAGAGCACCACGCACACATGCAGTCTTGCAAGAAGGCAAGACTTATCCCAGGACAGCTCGTTGCCCTTTTGAACTTCTACTGCAAGTTCTGTCTGGACTCAAGCCTGCATTCAAATAGTTTTAAGACCACACAGGGAGGACCTTTGGCAGCTGATGGTTTTTGCCAAGTTCTGCAGGAACTCTTTAAGACTTTTTTTAAACCCAGAAGAAAAAGTTCGGTAAAGCTCGTCAGTCACAGTACCAATCAACAGTATTGGAAGCTGCTGACAAATATAATTTAGTTTAGTCTAATGGAGATGAGCTCACTTACTACAATCACCATTTTGAACACTGCAGTGGCCATTGGACTTATAGTCACTGGTCACCAGCACAAATTAAAGCATGGGTCTAACAATCTGCAGGGCACCAACAGCACAGCTTGAACCTGGAACCTCGGCAAAACACACTCAACCCTGAAATGCAACTCCCAAACTCTCAGCGCTGCATCAGTGTTAGGCTTTTAACTTGACATTTATTCAGCCACACATCCACATCATGAGCCACTTACAGATCTATGAATGAGAGTTTCACAGGAGAACCATTTAGCACCCTGCATCCCCTCATCTTTTGGGCTGACCTTCTAGCATAAAGGGGAAGGTTCTAGCCAGCAGGACAAGGAAGCAGAAGCACAGCAGCACCTCTCTTAACAGGCTAAGCAAGCGAGGCAGAAAACTCAGGCATGATCCACAGCTGTTGTTTCTTCCTGACACCTTGCAGTGGCATTGCAAAGAGAATCCAAATGTTAGCCTGGACAGACTGAGGTTAAACCTTTTCCTGACACACATCTCAGTCACTATCACTACCAAAGCTCCATGAACCACAGGGCTACAATCTTTACCTAGGGCAAGTGTTAGAGGAAAATAAAATTTATTCCTCTTACCTCAAGCCCACCACACGGTAGTTCTTCCATTCCAAGAGGGATGACAAAACCATCCCTGAGGAGCACCAAAGCTTGTGGGTCTAAAGCAGGTCTAAAACCTACATTCATGTAATGCAGATAACTTCACAACAATTTCATTGTACAGCACAGTTTCTTGACAGTTCACTTGTCTTTTATAGCAGAAAGGAGTTGGAAACAGGGCGGGTGCTTCCCACCATGGAAGGGACGTGCTTGGTGCCTGCAATCACGTTTCAGTTCAGCCTGTGCCTGCGGCAGGGCACACAAACCTAGCTCAGCCAAGAAATCTCTCCACCTTACAGTGAAGTCCAGGGAGGTGAAAGCTCCCACCACCACTGCCAGTGTCACCAGACAACAAAACTACCTGAGCCTTCCCCAAACACAGAGGAAAGAAAAAGGACGCAGCCATCGAAAGCCTTGCTTTGATCTTTACCTCATATTCTTTAATAGTCCCCTTCCAAGTGCAGCCACTGTTAATACAGACAGCAGGCAGACTTTCCACCTCCCGACGAGCTGCGTTGTCCGGGAAAGCCTAAAACGGAAAAACCAAGCAAACCACAAAAATCGCTGAGGGGTTCCAGTTTTAGTACAGTCTCTTAATTCTTTCTTAAGACTTTATTAAGGCTCCTCCCATGCCAGTTGCCACATTACATCCTCAGAGGTGTGCTAATGGCAAACGAATCATTATTACAGTGTTTAAGTAGGCCACTGCTATGTTAACGTAACCTGGATTTTAGAAGCTGGGGAGCCCACCACATTAATCATAACTCTCACTACTGAAGAAAATGTTTCCTAGCAATAAGGGATTCTTAGAACTTGTGTTTTAAACAAAAACCACAAGTGGTATTAATGACATCAGTGATCTGCTTTATTTTTTAAAATGCATTTTTACTTACTGAGCTTGTTTCCAAAATAGAAATTCCTTCTTCGTATATTCCTTCCTGAATACAGCTGGCACACTTTTGAGGTCCAGCACTAGCAGACAGAAAAAAAATCGTCAAACGCAACAAAGAGAGACCGATTTATGATTTAACTATAAAATAATTTTTGGTAACTTATAAAATCAAAGCATTTTCTTATTTTTAAAGCAACACATTGAGCCTTTGCTCATGTGTATTTTTGATGCCCATTTCTGATTCTGAATTTTTTTTCTTCTCCTGATTAACCGCTCTATCCAACCTCCCTCACTTAGAGGCAAGTGTGAGACAGAACACAAGGAAATTTTTCTAGAAGCCAGTGTGTGCTCAAATTTCTCACGTTTCGGCATGACAACCATACAATGACTTTTAGGAGCAAGTTGTTTCAGTAGCTGTGAAAACTGAAGGAGGTGGGTGATCCACCTGTATTGCCACCTGAACAGCAAAAACAATCCAGGACATTCTGGAAAAGGGAACTTTGAAGCAACCCCCAGAACAATAAAAGCAAGTCAGAGATTACACATCCCCTTAAAGAAGGCCTCATGCTGAACCTCAATGATTAAACACAGCTTCCTTGCTGAGAAGGCCCTGAAAATTAGACTTTTATCTCCTTTTTTGGTTGAAAATACCTTTTCAAGCATTTTGTCTTCAGACTGAAGACACAAAAGTTACCTTATAATTTTCTTCAGACAATAGGAACAGTAGCGATGTCCGCACTGAGCTTGAAACGGCCTCCTCAATATATTCTTGCAATCGGAGCAGAGGTATTTGACCTCCAGTTTAGTTCCCAGGATCTCCTTTGCAAATCCAGGCTGGTTTAGATCCAAAGAGCCAGGTGGAGTAGAGTTTGCTGCTGCCATGTGAACGAAAAATTCTGGCTGTATCTCCAGAGCCTGAAAATAAAAATATTGTCCCTGTTTGATTATAACTGGAAAGTGGTAATTTTTCACATAAACTGTATTACTCGCAGCATATTACACTGGAACCCAAAACCCAGCAACACAGGTAAACACACTGATGTAAACCACAAGCCTGCCTCCACCTAGTTAAAAAACAGAAAGAAACTTTACAGTTATTTTTAGAATTAAATCCAGAACAAAGAGACAGGGTGGACCTCACTAAAATCCCCATCCAAGTTTATTGAAATGCAGCCTATTCAGGGAAATCAAGGCTTCTGGCCCAAAACAAGGTAAAAAACTGTCATAAAGCTGATCAGGAATATAAATAAATCGCCTCCGTCCACCAAAAACCTGTAGGCACTGAGTGAGGTAACCACAGCCTACCACTGTCTGTTTTCACATCTGTCAATTGTCAAAAAGGGCCGTAATTCTGCCCAGAGCCAGCCGTTCCCAGGGAGATGCCGTGCACACAGCGGAGCCCAGATTTACTGGCAGTGCCCAGGCAGGCATATGGGGCTCTCCAGCAGGATGGAAACGAAGATGCGAGAGGCACAAGCAAATCAGAAAGGAGGAAAGGAATAAAACGTATTTGTTTTGATCACTTATGAAGATCTAAAGATGCATCTCCCACCTTCGTGCCCTGCGACTACATCCCACGTCCACCTAAAATGCATAAGGCAGCACATCCAGGCACTTCATGTCAGCGCAGCCAAGGAAGCAGCAAGGCTCGCGAGCTCCCCACACCTTTTAAGTTTCGGGTAACATCCGAGTTTTGCCTGTACCAGGGGTTGTTAAATCTGATAAAGCGATCCCAGAGCAGGGAGAACGAGGGAGGCATTAACGAAGATCCCTTCCACGACGAAGTGCCCACGGGAGCACGCTGCAGCCCCGGCTGTGCCGGCAGGCTCCCGTGCACAACTGGGCCGGGCACCGTTATTCCCACGCTGCGTGTGTTTAAGCAGGTCTTTAATGCAAATTCACTTTTTCAGTTGCATCGAGGCTGCCCGGTCCTCGGCGAGTTGTTTTTACGGTCCCGGATCCGGGCACCTCCCGGGATGCCCGGGCACCACCTGCCCCAGCC